GAGGATCGGAGCGCACAGTCAGCCTGCCTGTCCCGTGCTCACCAGTACACATCCAACACAAGTTCCCAATTCCCAGTGCTGGCTCTCCCATCCCCACACCCCAGGGCTGCAGAGACCACTTTCCCCCTTCCCACACGGTCGGTTCGGCCTGTCCTCGCTGCCAAGAGCAGCTGGCAGCCGCCGCATCGCCAACGGGTTCGAAGCATGTTTTTGCTCCGGACATCTGCCCCGTTAGCCATTAATCCAGCTGGCAGAGGAACGCGGGGGGCTGCCAGCATTCAGCTACGTCACCGTGCCAGCCACTACGGCTAACGGCAATTGTTTGACAGCTGCAGCCACAGCAAAGGGAGCCAAAAGGGGCTAGACGGAGCTGGTAGGACTGTGATCTCTCCCTTTCTGAGAACAAAATGAGAATTCCACATTTTCTCCCCCCACCCCGGTCGCAGCTTACACTTACTAGCGATGGCAGTGTCAGTAATATCGACTCCTTGGGCTGCCCATGGTACCCGGCACAGAGACATCACCGTGAGCATCGGCCGCTGGCAGCTGGCACCTCGCACAAGCTAAAGGGGAGAGAAAACAAATAAAAATACCGATTTCACATACAGCAGTTTCAACAGGACTTTTGCAAAGGGTCCTATTTGACTAACAAGTGACCAGTAACCGGCTGCTAAAATAAGCCACCAAGGACTGAAATCCCCAGCCCTGACAAAGGACGAGGGAAGTTAAATTTTGTTCTGTGGCTGCACCTCCTCCTGCCACAGCCCACTGACGGGGTGCGGGCAGCTCCTTCTGCTCCCCCTCCAGACAACTCGAGCCCCCCGGCACCCAGGGAGCAGCCAGAGCCGGCACAGCAAGGGGGGGAAGGTGGAAGGTGGCTGCGAGCAGGGTTCCCAGCTTTGAGGGAACCTGGACACAGGTTTTTGGCAGAGCAGGAGGTGCTGGTATCACCCAGCGGTGCTGGCTGTGGACTTCATGGTGGTCACGCTTAAAATTTGGCTTTTCAACTCCCATCCCTTTGGATGCTGCGCTCCAAACCTTCATTTTGGTGGGGACAGCTGGAGGCCGGAGGCAGCCCCCGCTGCAC